GCTGCTGCTGCTCTGGCCGCGGGCCGGGCCGGGGGAGCCGCGGTGTTGGGGCGCCGTCGGGGACAGGGGTCTGCGGGGACAGGAGGCCCGCCGTGCGGGCTTCGGAGCAGTGCTGGGCCCTGGAGTCCGCCGCCGAGCCCTAAGTTGTCCGGCGAGGCCCGCCCGGGGCGCACGTGCTGGCCGGGTTCCCCCCGGGGGTCGCCCGTGCAGGTCGCTTTTGGGGCGGCCGAGGCGCGCCCTGGGTCCTCGCTGGTCTGCGGGTTCCCGCTGCGCCCAGGCCCCGGGCGGCCCCACGGGGTGTGCGCACCACGCAGCCTCGCGTTCTCTCGGAAGCGAAGAAGAAAAGTTTTTTTCTTTCTTTTGTTTTAGTATTGGTTGGAAAACACTGCCTGAGTTTGGCCTTTAAAGGTTCCCTGTGTGGATGGGAGCGGGTGACTTTCTGGGGCAGCGCTAGAACCTTCCTCCTGGCTGAAGGCTGGTTACTGAGAATCAGATAGAATCAGTGGGAATCGGGTGCCCCTGTGTCTTGCGGAGTGGACCAGCGAGAAACCTGCGTTCACAGTGCTGTCAGCCCCGCTTGTGAATGCGAGTTCACGACCCACGCCATCCACATGGGTGCCCTGCAGTCCGGGGGACTCAGGAAACCCACCCAAAAACGCAGCCCAAAGAGAGGGAAGCGCAGTGATGGGTGCCTGGCTCAGCACGGGTTCCGTTCACCTGCTCCAGGTCAGTCCTGTTTCCAAGGAGAGAGAGAAATGTCTCTTGTTGGGTTGGTGGAGTCCTCGAGCGGTGCACAGAAATTCTCAGGCATCTGCTAGGTCCCAGGCACTGCTCTGGGGGCTGCACAGGCCCAGGGCCCAGCCCTGACCGCCAGATGAGCGGTCAGATGTCCGGTGGGCTGAGGCCTCGGGGAGGGAGCTGGGTCTTGATTGTTAGCAGTGGCCTGAAAAGGAAGCCTCACCAAGAGATGGCCAACCGGGGAGAGGTAGGGCAGGGGCAGGGTCCCAGGTGATTCCGCCGTCACAGCTGAGTGGGTGACTCTTCAGACGCGCCTGGTGCTCTGAGAGTTTGGTGACGAGATCTAAGGCCCTTGTCCCTGGAGTGTTGTGAGAGGCTGGTTGTGCCTGGGCTCCACTTGCTGGCTGATGACTGCCATTGGTCCTTGGTCTTCTCCTGTCTGCATCCCGTGTGCAGGGACCGGAAGCCAGCCCTTCGGTTCTCTCACCTGGCTTCTGCCCCTGCTACTGGATGGAGCCCCCGGCTGGGTGCTGATGGAGGAGGGGTGTTCCGGTTGCTAGGTGACGTGGCCGCCATGCTCTCCCATCTGCTGGGGCAGTGTAGGCAGACGGAGCAAAGGAGGAGAGATGCTAACTCGTCGAGGCGCTTTCCGCAGTGTGGGGGGCTGGTGTTTTGGGTTTCTGTTGGACCTGTGTTTGCTTCAGGCTGGTTCAGCGTCCCTGGACAGTGTGCGTCTGGACTTCCTATCAGAGACGCCTGCGATAAGCAGTGACGTGGAGGCTGACACTGAGTGACACGGAACTTTTCTTTCCTGTCGGATGAAACATTTTTTTCTGGTGGTTGTGACCACTGAAGAGTGAAAATGGCAGCTTGTGGCCAGCTCTGTTTGTCCCCAGCCAGACTCCTCTGGGGAGGGAGATGTGCTAGCGTTGAGTGCTTTCTCCCCGGGACCTGTGTGTGACCTGTGCGTGTGCCTGCAGCCCCACACCCAGTGACCTGGGACTGACACCACCTGCCGGGGTGGGAGTTGTGGGAGCCTTGCCCCTCGCAGAACCTTGTGCTCTGTGAAGCTCTCCGGGCCTGTGCCCAGAGCAGGCTGCAGACAGAAGGTGCAGCAGTGTTGGTGTTAGGGTTGGGAGCCCGGGGCACACCAGCGCTGGCCGTGGCCCGAGGCCGGCCTTGACTGGGGGCAGTATTTCCCAACTGGTGATGCCAGAGACCACAGCAAGCAGCTGGCCCTGTAAGTGCTGTGAAGTGGGAGGGAAGGGGTGACTCAGGCGTCCGCACGGGGCCTGTGTGGCTCTGTAGAGGGGGCCGGGCCGGGTCAGGGCCAGGCTTGAAGGGCGGGACTCTGGGCCTGAGACTGCAGAGCCTAGGGGTGTTTGCACTGAGCTGGGAGTAGTGCCCTAGGGGGTCACTCGGGCAGCTGCCCTTTGCTACAGCTGTGCTGAGCAGCCGCAAGCCAGGGCAGGAAGGGGCCCTTTGTCGAGGGAGCGGGGGCACCCGTGGCCTGGGCTCAGAGACCGCCACGTATCTGTGCGTTTGCCCGTATGCCCTGGGCAAGCCTCGCTTGGCTCTCCCTGGAAAGACGTTGCTTCCTCACAGGGCCGTGGTGAGCACGATGGGCTGGGATGCCGGCTGTGGAATTCTCCAGCACTGGGCCTGCCCGCAGAGCTGACCAGAGGAGAGCGCTTTGGTGGCTAGCATGTTTTATGTCCGCAGAAACTTTCCCAAGTGTCTCATTCTTCCTGCTCGGCCTTTTGTGTGTTTTTTTTTTTTTTTTTTTTTCCCTCTTAACAAAGACGGTGTGCCATCTAAGCAAAGCGGCTGAGAATGTTAATACCTGCTGCCCTGCCACCCATGGACAAGCCGTGCGTGAGCGTGTGTGAGGGGCGGGGAAGGCTCGGGCACAGCTTGGTTATCCTGTGCTCCAGGTGTGTCCCTTTGGAATTCTTTAAAACAGTCTGTTGCTGTCACTGGAGGTAGAATGTCATGGATGGAAACTTACGGATAGAATTGGTGCTTTCTCCCCCCCTTTGGGTGTTGGTGGGGAGGCGCTGCTATAGACTGAACTGCCACTGTTGACTTTTTTTAATGGAAGATCCTGTGTTGAGTGTGGAAGCATGTTGTCATGCAGTTGCAAGCCTATGGATACTTTTGGGAAAACACTTACATTGTTTCAGAAACTGAGAAGTAGCCAACAGAAAGAGATGTTGTTATTGTAACATTTTCACCTGCCCCCGAAGGGACAGAGGCACCAGCAGCTTTGAGGACTGGTGGCTTCCAAGCTGGGACTTGCCTTCTCTTGCTCAAGTGTCCCTGTGCAACTTTTCTCCGGAGGCCTCTGCAGGACCCCACTTGCCTCCTGGCCTCTCTCTCTCCCTGCAGACTGTCCACACCCCCGTTCCACGCGCTGGGACTTGCTCGTCGTCCCTGCCTCCACGCTGGCCTTGGCTGCTTGCTCAGCTCACACCAGCCCTGCTGCCAGAGGACTGGTTCAGTGTCCCCCTGCTGTGTGCATTCCCTGGGGACTGTGCGTTGTGCTGTGTGCATTCCCTGGGGACTGTGCGTTGCTCCGGTGCTGTCCCAGGTGCCTGTGCTCAGGTGTCCTCTGTGGAACGCACCTGCGCCTCTTTGCCCCCCCTGTGGAGTGCGTGGCCCTGCTTATATGGAGTAGATACAAGGGGTGGACAGACGCATTGCCCGTGTTCTCACGCACCGAGTGCGTTTCTGCTTAGGGGACTGGATTGGCGCTTGGTGGTTTTAAGTACTTTGAGGTCTGGTGTTTGGCACACGGCGGACACAGTTTGTAATGGAAACCAAGATCGAGTGAGATTGGAGTGCCTGGAGGATGCTCTCTGTGTCAGCTCTTTGGAAGGCTGCGGCCTGCGTCTCAGACCGAGCACAGGACAGTCCTGGGCTGGCATTTAAGGCCAGGTTCCAGGCAAGTGTCCAGGGCACTGTGGCGATGTGGCCCCAAGACACCTCCTCTTGGTCTGGTGCCTCTGACTGTGTCAGTTGGGATCCCTGGGCCGGTGCCAGGAGGACATGGGGATGTTCGGGGTCTGGGACGCACGGAGGGAGCCGACAGAAGGCCTCTGGATGAGTGGGTTGTGCAGGGGACGCTAGGCTCTGACCCGCAGCCTCCTGGAGGAGTTGGATGCCGGTTGGTGATGACGGGCGCTCCGCAGCTGATGAGAGCCCTGTGCGAGTGTTTCAGGGGCAGAGAGAGAGATCTGGAACTGGGCCAGAGGCACTGCTCCCTGGGGCCCCTCGCCTGGCCGCTCTGGGTCTTTCCTGGCTGGCCCCGTGGCTAGTGGCAGTGGAACCAGGGGGCCCACAGTTGTACCTATTGGTGACGCTTCTCTGTTTTTCATGGAAAATAGAGAATCTTTATGAAAAGAAATGCAGCGTTCAGTGAATGAAGCAGAAAGGTGACTGATTTTGTCCTGGAGTCGTTTTGTCTTGTTGAAAGTCTGTGAAAATGACTGTCTGTCTTCAGCCTGTGTTGTCTTGTCAGGCGTGCCTTCTGAGGAGTGTGATTTTAGCTTGTTATTACCACCAAGTGTGATTTTAGCTTGTTTTTTTGCCCCTCTGTCTGTTGGCATTGGTACTTCACAAATAACATTTTAAGCTCCACTTTCCAAATGACAAAGTGGGGCAGACGTTGTGATGGAGCGGCTAAAGCCCCGTATGGGCACCAGTGCCAGTCCTGGCTGCTCACTTCAATCCAGCTCCCTGCTATTGTACCTGGGAAAGCAGTGGAAGATGGCCCAAGGGCTTGGGCCCCTGCACCCATGTGGGAGACCAAGAAGAAGCTCCTGGCTTTGGCCTGGCCCAGCCCCGGTCATTGCAGCTGTTTGGAGAGTGGACCACAAGATGGAAGATCTCTCTCTCTCCCTTTCTCTCTCTCTCTCTCTCTCTTTTTTGTTTAAAGATTTTATTTATTTATTCATAAGTCAAAGAGTTACACAAAGAGAGGCAGAGAGAGAGAGAGAGAGAGGTCTTCCATCCAGTGGTTCACTCCCCAATTGGCCGCAAAGGCTGGAGCTGCGCCGATCCAAAGCCAGGAGCTTCTTCCAGGTCTCCCATGTGGGTGCAGGGGCCCAAAGACTTGGGCCTTCTTCTTCTGCTTTCCCAGGCCATAGCAGAGAGCTGGATTGGAAGAGGAGCATCCGGGACTCGAACCAGCTCCCATATGGGATGCTGGTGCTTCAGGCCAGGGTGTTAACCCGGTGTGCCACAGCGCCGGCCCCATCTCTAACTCTTTCAAACAAGTAAATCTTTAAAAAAAATACATTAAAACATGTCTTCTACACAAACAACTTGTATGTGAATATTTGTAGCATCATCTTTTATATTTATTTGAAAGGCAGAGTGACAGGGAGGAAGGGAAGGAGAGAGAATATCTTCCGTCTGCTGGCTCACTCCACAAATGCCTGCGACAGCTGGGGCTGAGCCAGGCTGAAGCCAGGAGCCGGGAACTCACTCCGGGTCTCCAGTGTGGGTGGCAGGGGCCCAAGTACTTGAGCCTTCACCTGCTGCCTGTGAGGGTGCACGTTGGAGCAGGGGTGAAACTTCATCCCAGGCTCTCTGATGTGGGACACGCTGAGCCCACTGCTCCAGTACCTGCCCTATAGTTAGCCGCGTTATTGAGAATGGCTAAAACTAGGCAGGTGTCCCAACAGCCAGCAAGTGTGTGAACAGAGCCTCATGCCAGTGCCTGTGCTGGCCACTGTTTGGCCATCAGGAACGCAGCACTGCTGAGCACGGCGGCACGCGAGACCCTGGAGAAGCACCTGTTGGCGAGAGGCTGCCGTGCTATGAGAGCGAGCCGCGAGCGGGCAGATCCGTGGGGACGGTGGAGTCGTGTCTGCGCGGCCCGGGGGTGATGTGTTCAGAGTGATGAGACGGTTCTAAATTTAGACAGTGGTGACGGTTGCCCAACTCCGTGAATACGCTAAAGATCATTTCATTGTGCATTTTAAGTGGCTGAACTTTACAGTCTGTGACTGTAAGGATGAACAAGTCCCCATTCTGAGGCGTTTTATAGTTCTGAGAGTCCCATAAAACAGCGAGTGTGTGTGTGTGTGTGCGTGTGTGTGTGTGTGAAAACTGGCGCTTTGCAGGGAGCTCTCCCTACAATGTCGGGCTTCCGTGGGCCGCCCAGCCTGTGCCGTTGCTGTCCCTTCAGCTCCTGGGCCTTGCTGTCCCTTTGTGCTCACCTGTTCCCCCAGACAAGACACGCACAACGGAAGACTTTTCCAGCTGTTGGCGAGCTCTGGGACTTGCAGGTTCCCGTCTCTCAGGAGCTAGCGGGTGCTCGCTCTCCTTCTCATGCCTGGTCACGGGGCCCACGGGACCCTGAGGACGCAGGGCAGGTGGTGGCTTCTCAGAGGGGCCACTGGGGTACAAAGCTGTTACTCCCCCACCTGTCCTGGGAGAATGGTTTGCTTCCCTAACCTTGTAACGATGGGGCTCCCTCCCCCCGTCCCACCTGCGCAGGGGTGGTTAGGATGCCTTTGCTCAGGGTGTCCTTCAAAGTCTTTGTCATCTCAAGTAAGTGTCTTTCCAGGGAAATCATTGCTCGGAAAAGGCTGTGCGTTCTCTTTGCGATTTGTAGCCAAATGTATGACACTGTGCGATGCTCGGTGTGTGTCCTGCCTTGTATGCACGCATGTGCAGACAGCATGTACACGCGTGTGCCGAGAGCATTCTTGGGTTTGCAGGGGTCGGTGT